AGAGAGAGCACAAGCAGGGGGAGCTGGAGAGGGAGAGGGAGAGCAGGCTCTCTGCTGAGCAGGGAGCTAGATGCTGGGCTCAATCCAAGGACCCTGGGATCATGACCTGAGACAAAAGCAAACGCTTAACCGACTAAGCCACGCAAGCACCCCTATACCCTGTTTTGTTTTTTTTTTTTAATCTTGAAATAACAAACTCTCAGTTGTCCCATTCTGTATTTCTTTATTATTATATATTTTTTAGCAATCTCTACACCAATTGTGGGGCTCAAAATTACAACCTCAAGAGCCGCACACTCGTCCTCTAACTGAGCCAGCAAGGCACCCCTCCCATTCTGTATTTCTTTTTTTTTTTTTAAGCTTTTATTTATTTATTTGACAGAGCGGTCACAAGCAGGCAGAGAGGTAGGCAGAGAGAAAAGGGGGAAGCAAGCTCCCCACCAAGCAGAGAGCCCGATGTGGGGCTCGATCCCAGGACCCCCAAGATCATGACCCAACCCAAAGGCAGAGGCTCAACCCACTGAGCCACCCAGGTGCCCCCATTCTGTATTTCTTAAAGAACCTGGTCTTCAACCACATTTGTTTTTGAAAGAATTTATTTATTTATTTGACAGTGAGAGAGGGAACACAAGTGGGTTGGGGGTGGGAATCAGAGAAGGAGAGGCAGGTTTCCCGCTGAGCAGGGAGTCTGATGCAGGGCTCCATCCCAGGACCCTGGGATCATGACCTGAGCCGAAGGCAGACTTTTCACAACTGAGCCACCCAGGCACCCCTCAACCACATTTCTAATTGTCTCCTTATTCTCCAAGTACACTGGGCCCTCTGAAGGATTTCCTTCTTAAAACCCCAGCTTGGACTCTCAGACTCCACCATAACTCCCACAATATCACTAGCACTGTACAGTTACTCTCCATCTTATCTTCTCTTCTTATATATTCCAATTCTGGATCAACCCAACCTTACCTTTTCTGCACTCCCACTCCTAAACTGCTGGGGATAATGCAAATTCCATGCTACTGGGCCCATTACAAATATATTATATCTAACTTTTACTGGGCCCACAATGTGGTCAGCAATCTTTTTTTTTTATTCTTAATCTATTTTCATTTTCCATTGAAGATTTCCATGGCCCTAATACTCACTGTAGCTCCTCAGTCTCCAGAAATAAGTGACCTCTCTAAAGGTAACTAATCACATCAAGAAAGTAAGACCATCTGTCAAATTCCCCCACCTTCTTTTCCTTCTACCACACCATTATCCATCTTAACTTCTAACCTTTTAGTATCAAAAAATGAAATGCCCTGAAGCCCTACTCAAGCTCTCTCTCACTATCACTCTCTCTCAAATAAATAAATAAATAAATAAAATCTTTTTAAAAAATAAAGGAATGGAAGATGGCGGCCTCCCAGTCTCCGGCCCGGAGGAGCCAAGAGCCCGGGGCCCCACTCCTCGGTGCACCCTCAGAGAACAGCGCCCAATTACTCCCGTCTGCCTGGCCTCCGGCCGCGCTCCGAGCCAACCGAGCCTGCTACCCGTTCAAGATGGAGAAGATGGGCTCCATGAAGAACCAAAACATGTCCCAGAAGTTGCTTCTATTAAGATGAAGATGCGGCAATCTTTCCCTTAAATACCACAGAGTAGAAGGACACCTGACCCTTCAGGGAAACTGCCTTTGCCAGGGCATTACTTCCAATATCAGTCCTGTCTTAAACCATTGGTTCTTCAATCAACCAATCAATCTTCGTGGAATTTAGAATGAAATACAAATGTCATATTTCTTTAAAAATAGCAACCAAAATGTCTACAGATAATGAAAGTGTGTGTCCATTCCCCTCCTGACAAAATAAAAAATGGTTTTTCCTCATTTATAATTGAAATGTGCTATATTGTTAAAGAAGAGGTCAATAAATGCAAGTGCAGTTCCTGAAAAAAAAAAAAATAAATAAATAAAGGAATGAAATGCCCAAGATATTTCCTAGGTTAATTTTCCCCTCAACCTACAAAACTGTTTCACCAATACTTAAAAAAAAAAAAAAAAAGTGCCATAGTGGAAAGTTCATGTTCTTGCCTGCAGTCTTCCCAATTGTAAAAGAGGAATACTGATACCTACACCACAAGGCTGTTGGGATCTATAAAGCATCTTTACAGTACCTGACATAGAATATATTCTCAATAAAAATGTTACCATCAGCTCTCTTTCACAACCACACTTGCTGAAAGAGTAATTTTACTCACTGCCTCCTATTTGTTCCTCAATCCATCATGATCTATTGCTTGCATTTCCACCATTGCACTGGCCAAAGTGTCTTTTAGAGGAAACAAGTAATCTCCTAATTGCTAAATTCAGTGGTTTCCTTCTAATCGTCATTCTACTTGAGCTTTGTAGCACCTGACAGTGACCGTCATCCCCTCCCATCTTGAAACCCTTCTTCCTTTGGTCTCTATTTTTTTTTTTAAGATTTTATTTATTTATTTATTTGACAGAGAGAGAGAGAGAGAGAGCGCACAAGTAGACAGAGAGGCAGGCAGAGAGAGGGGGAAGCAGGCTCACTGCCGAGCAGAGAACCCGATTCGGGGCTCGATCCCAGGACCCTGAGATCATGACCTGAGCTGAAGGCAGAGGCTTAACCCACTGAGCCACCCAGGTGCCCCTCCTTTGGTCTCTATTATAATACTATTCTGCTCTTATTCTTTTTTTTTTTAAAGATTTTATTTATTTCTTTGACAGAGACAGATCACAAGTAGGCAGAGAGGAAAGCAGAGAGAGGAGGAAGCAGGCTCCCTGCCGAGCAGAGAGCCCGATGTGGGACTCGATCCCAGGACCCTGAGATCATGACCTGAGCCGAAGGCAGAGGCTTTAACCCACTGACCCACCCAGGCGCCCTGGTCTTATTCTTGTCCCATTCCTTCAACCTCTCTTTCTCCGTGTCTATTACCCTTCAAACAATGATGTTCCTTCTGGTCCATAACCATCTTCTTCTCTTCTTTCAGTATTACCACCCCATACTAAGTCTTCAAATATCCCTGTTATATTCTCTCTTGACCCTCAAATTTACATATTCAATTTTTTTAAAGATTTTATTTATTTATTTGACACAGAGAGAGAGAGATCACAAGTAGGCAGAGAGGCAGGCAGAGAGAGAGAGAGGAGGAAGCAGGCTCCCCGCTGAGCAGAGAGCCCGATGTGAGGCTCGATTCCAGGACCCCCGGATCATGACCTGAGCCGAAGGCAGAGGCTTAACCCACTGAGCCACCCAGGCGCCCTATATTCAATTTTTTAAGATTGTATTTATTTACTTGAGAGAGAGTGTGACAGAGCAAAAGACCAGAGAGGGTGAGAGCGAGAAGCAGGTTCCCCAACGAGCAAGGAGCCTGATGCAGGACTTGATTCTGGGACTGCAGGATCAAGATCTGAGCTGAAAGCAGTCGCTCAAATACCTGAGCCACCCAGGCACCCTCAAATTTATGTATTCAGTTCCAACCTCTCTCCCAATTTTCAGACCCAATTTCCAGCAAACCACAGTAATATCTGAAAAGCACCTCAAATTAAACATGTCCAAAACAAAATTCATGGCCTTCCCTCCAAACTGCTTCTTCAGGGGCACCTGGCTGTCTCAGTGGGTTAAGCCTCTGCCTTCGGCTCAGGTCATGATCCCAGTGTCCTGGAGTCCCTGCTCAGCGGGGAGCCTGCCTCTCCCTCTCTCTCTTTCTCTCTGCCTCTCTGCCTACTTGTGATCTCTGTCTCTGTCAAATAAACAAATAAAATCTTGGGCGCCTGGGTGGCTCAGTGGGTTAAGCCTCTGACTTCCGCTGGGGTCATGATCTCAGGGTTCTGGGATGGAGTTCCGCACTGAGCTCTCTGCTCAGCAGGGACCCTGCTTCCCCTCTCTCTCTGCCTACTTGTAATCTCTGTCAAATAAATAAATAAAATATTTTAAATAAATAAATAAAATCTTAAAAAAAAAATGCTTCTTCATGTTCCCTATTACAATTAACACTACCAGTGCATCCCAGCCCCGAAGTCCGAAACGTCCCACTACCGCTCCCAACTCTGGAAACCTCGTGGAATTTAAACGTCCTAGAAATTCACGTCTTTCTCTTCATTTTCTTCCCACTATTCCAGTTCATCCCCTCTGGCCTGGATTAGCACAGTGGTTTCCTGCCTACCTAGGCTTTCTGCCTCCACACGGTCTTCACTTTCAATTCTTCCTTCACATGCTCACCAGAGATCATCAGTCATACCAAACCCTTGCTTACAAAACCCTCAGTGGCTCCCCATACCTGCAGAATAAAGTCCAAATTCTTCAGCAAGGTTTTCTCAGAGTTGTAAACGGAAAGGTCTTTAAGTCAAACAAACATGAGTTTCGTTTCTAGCTAAATCTAAATACTGGGTTAGTCCAGAATCTTCCAAGTGAAGGGTAAAAAGCAGAAGAGCGAAAAGGAAGGATGGGGGAGAATAAGGATGACAGAGAAGAGAAAAGGGGGGGAGGCAGTAGTGTCTCGGCGCGGGGGGGGGGGGGGGGCGGGCAGAGTACTTTCTAACGTAGAAAGGGAAAGTTCCCAGGAAAGAGTATGTTTGAGGGAAGTAAAGTGAGGGAGTCCAGATCTCTGAGGGACGAGGAAGGTTCTCAGTGCGGAGTTGGAGCTCTCTGAAGCAAGAGTTCTTCCTGAGTCTCTGAAGTGAGAAAAGTCCGTGAGAGGACTCAAGGACCGGGTCCCTGCTACCAAGGAACTTCTAAAGGGTTCCCGGCCTCTGAGGCGAGGAAGCGGAGGTAGGGATGGGGGCTGTCCCGGGACCCTGAAGAAAGTGAAAAGGGAAGGAAAACGGATCGAGGAGTATCCCCAGCCGCTCAGAGGACCCTGGGAAGCAAAGAGGTCCTGTCGGTGCTGAGACACCCTAGTGCCAATGCTCCGGAGCCGCGGCGGTGGAGGAGCCGTGCGCCCGGGCGCACGGGCCGGGGCGCCCCGGGTTTGTGCCCTATGCGCTCTCTCGGCGTTACCTGAGGCGGGACTGAGCAGCCAGAGGGGTGCCTGCGCGGGCGGGAGGCGGAGGCAGCAGCAAAGTGGGAGCATAGTAGTCCTCACAGCTCCGAGGCGGCAGAGGCTCTTAGCCCGCGGAGGTGGTGGGGGTCCCTCGCGCAGAAGCAGGCGACTCGTCGGAACTAGCGGCAGCGAAGGACGAGGAGGCTACTGCCATGGCCCCGCAATCGGGACCGTTTCCCCCGTCTGTTTGGCGGGGCCAAGAGAATGATCCCAACGGCGAGCCTGAAAAGGCAGCTGAATCTCCGAGGAGCTCCGCAGCCGCCCGCGACTGAAACGCCTGCCCCGCCAGCAGGGGGACTGGGGCGGGGCTAAAGGCGAGCACGCCCTTACTCCTCAAGCCTCCGAGCAGCCAATCAATCGTCAATCTTTGATAAACGAGCTAGCGGAATTACCCAATTAGCATTAGGAATGCCACGTGGTATGAGGGTGGCCTCAATAGGCGTCCGGGAAAGCCAATCAACAGCCCTCGGCGCCAACTCTGGGAGACGAAGAGAACCAATAGGAAGGAAAAGGAGGTTAAAAACAGAAGAAGCAGTGTGTTAGGAAGGCGGAACCAAGGAGGAGGGAATACACCTGGGGGAAACTCAAGTCCCCAAGCCTCCGGCGCTGGGAGGAGAGCAGTAAACACAAGAGGGAACAATCATTGGTAATTAATAAAACCAACAGAAAATGGATTCTACTGACGCGGATTTTCGGTTGGTGAAGGGTATAGCTAAGTAAGGACTACCTGAATAAAGAAAAGATAAATGAACGCAGAGTCCTGCAGAACCTCAGTATAGTGGAAAAACTGATGATCAACTATTATTAGCTACCTGAGATGGTAAGAGCAATGGGTAGGGTTAAAATGCTGAGGCAACTATTAATCAAGACTGAGATCCGATTCAGTGAAGCCTTCTTGGAGGAGGTAACAGTTGAGCTGGCTTGAAAACTGAAGATTTTGAAAGAGCTGCGTAGGGAATAAATTCTGCTCAACTGTTCAACATGCACATATTTCCTTCCTCATGCTTCCCATATACCTGGACTTCAAGGGCCTCATAATCTCACGCCTGAGCAGATTGGAACAGGGCTAGAGCTCCCAGTGCTAAAGCAGGCAAAGAAACACTGGAGCATGGGCCTTCCTGCACCAGTACTCCCTTGGATTAGAGACATCCTTTCAGATATCTTTAGACTTGCCTTCTACCAGATGGGTCTTGACTGATGAGTGAGATTTGAATAGGAGCATAAGTAGTGTGCATTCCTGTGGCAATAAAGTTTAAGAAACCTGTGTATGAATTCATTCATATGTGGAATCTAAAAAACAACGAATGAATAAACAAAAAGCATAACTGGACCCGTAAATATAGAGAACAAACTGGGGCGTCTGGGCAGCTCAGTCATTAAGCGCCTGCCTTTGGCTCAGTCATAATTCCAGGGTCCCAGGATCCAGCCCTGCCTGGGGCTCCCTGCTCAGTGGGAAGACTGCTTCTCCCTCTCCCCCTCCCCCTGCTTGCATTCACTCCCTTGCTGTCTCTCTGTCAAATAAATAAAATCTTTACAAAAAAATTACAGAAAACAAACTGATGGTTGCTGGATAGGACAGGGACAAAATGGGTGAAGGGGAGTGGGAGAGACAAGCTTTCAGTTATGGAAGAAAAAGTCATGCGGCTCCTGGGTGGCTCAGTGGGTTAAAGCCTCTGCCTTCAGCTCAGGTCATGATCCCAGGGTTCTGGGATCGAGCCCCACATCGGGCTCTCTGCTCTGAGAGGAGCCTGCTTCCTCCTCTCTCTCTGCCTGCCTCTCTGCCTACTTGGGATCTCTCTCTCTGTCAAATAAATAAATTCTTTAAAAAAAAAAAGAGAAAAAAAAAGTCATGAGAATAAAAGGCACAGCATAAGGAATAAAGTCAATGATATTATATTAGTGTTGTGTGGTGACAGATGGTAGCTACACTTGTGGTGAGCATACCATAATGTATAAACTTATCCAATCACTAATGCTGTACATCTGAAACTAATGTAACATTGTGTGTCAACTACACTTAAAGAAAAAAATTTTAAAAGAAAGATATGTGATAGGAGATAAGAATGGAGGTTAAATGTGAATTGAGCTTAAATGCTTAATTTGTCCTTTCTTTTTTATGCTCTGAGAACTGTCAAAGGTTCTTGAGCACAGTACCCTTAACGGGATAGCGTTTTAGTTAGATTAATTGGTAGCTCACATATCTCCAGGCGCCCCCTCACAGTATCTCCAAAAGGAGAAAAGAAATTACCCCAGCCCAGGGCCGTTGGCCCAGAGCCTTTTCCCTATCTGCAATTCATGATGTGCTGCCACCTGGTGACAGTTCAAATACCATTGTTCCACATTGCTATTGAATTTTTCTGTTGTTGAAGCCCAGGCACCCTTGCAAACCTGTCTCCCATAAAGCCAGATGCGAAGAAGTTGATAAATAAGTACAGCTTTCTACCAAGCAGAATTGAATAATGCCATCATACCAGACATTATCATATGCCCAGTGAAAGATGTACAAGACTGGGATTACTTGTACCTTGAGAAGGAAGATGAATCTTAATGGTAAGTATTTAGTTTTTTTAACAAGTTCTGTTTAACCCAAGTTTGATCTCTACCATTCCACTCTCAGCAATCTCTTTCTTCTTTTAAGATTTATGTGTTTATTTGAGAGAGAGAGTTGGGCAGGGGGAGGGAGAAAATCTCAAGCAGATTCCCCCTTAATCCCAAGACCTTGAGATCATGACCTGAGCGGAAATCGAGAGTTAGAAGCCTGACCCCCTGAACCACCCAGGTGCCCCTCAGCAATCTCCATAATACTGAGGAGAAAGAACCAAGGAATGCCTTAGAGCTATTCAGGTATCAAAGGTCCACTCTTCGTGACCTGTCTGCTAGTTAGGCCAAGGCCTTAAATATACCCCATAGGAGGAAGTAGCTCCTACCTACTCATTTCAGCCTTTTATTATGCTTTTATTTCAGATAATTGTCTCCTCTTCCCAGCTAGATGGAGCTAAGAGCTGGGACCCTTATGAGCCCACTGCATATCTTAGCTGAGGGCAAATACACACCAGGGCTAGTATGTATTATGCTCAATAAATATCCACTTGGTGGATAAATGGCATTATCCTTTGTCTATATTTAGCAGTGGAAGAGACCTCATGAGATCTTAGTGGGATACTGCTGCTTCTAAGGAAATATTAAGACTGCATTGTCCAGAATACAAACTCCGGGTAAGGTGAAAGTAAAGCTGTCCTTAGTCTACATAGAAAGATAAACTTTCCAGGAAGCAACCCAGTGATGAAAGGATTAGAGCCAATAACCACAAGGCCTAGTTTTTTAATATAATAGGAAATATCAGAGTACATCACTCCTAGTGATTCAATGAGTATTATATCATGAAATTTGGTCACACATGGGTGGTTCAATCAGTTAAGCATCTGCTTTCTGCTTGGGTCATGATCTTGGAGTCCTGGGGTTGAGTCCCAAGTCGGGCTCCCTGCTCATTGCTCCCTCTGTGCTCACCCACACACACTCTCAAATAAATAAATAAAATCTTTTTAAAAAATAAATCATGAAATTTCTTTCATTTGGTAAATATACATGTATATACTTATTAAATGATATACATGTATATATTTACTACAATATAAACTGTATTTCTTAGTGGAGGTCACAGCCAAATAATTTTTTTTTTAAGATTTTATTTATTTATTCAACAGAGAGAGAGAGATCACAAGTAGGCAGAAAGGCAGGCAGAGAGAGAGGAGGAAGCAGACGCCCCGCTGTGCAGAGAGTCCAACGCGGGGCTCAATCCCAGTACCCTGAGATCACGAGCTGAGCCGAAGGCAGAGGCTTAACCCACTGAGCCACCCAGGTGCCCCACAGCCAAATAATTCTAAAAGCCACTGGATTAGAGGTAGAAACTAGAAGAAAAGAGACAGGAAACTGCTACAGAAATATAAGCTGGGTTGGGCTGCTGAAGTTGAGGAGGTGTGGTGGGACTGAAGTAAGCCTTAAGAGGCAGAAGCTGGAGATGAGAAGAGGAAGCCTCCTACTACTCAGGTCCAGGGCCTACCTGAATGCCTCGCTCTCCTCTGCATCCCCACAGCAATACTGCCCCAGAGCACTGTCCTATCTCATTCTACCCACCAGAACAGGAGCTCCCATTTCCTTCCAAGTTCCACTGAGAGCAGGGCTTGAACTCAGAAGGTATAGTTATAAATATCTATGAACTTGGATTTCAGAGAGAGATGGCAGGAAGCAGTCAAGTAACAGGAGGAAGAAAAGATACAGTATCCCATGTAGGTGCTGATTCACAGAAGATATCAGGGAGGGTTAAAACATTTTATTGCAGCTGGTGGCCAAGGATGGGCAGGCAGTGACAAGCCCCAGTAAGGAGGGCAGATACCAGCTAGATCAAGAGAGAAGTAGAGGGGGCCAGAAACAGGGCCTTGGAGGGGAAAAGTGAGCAAAACTACTCATACAAGTCCTTACAGGTCACTCGGGAACATTGTGAGGCCCTTAAAGAAGAGGTTCTCCTGCTCAAGGCTCTGGGCCTAGAGCTGTAAGCTGCTGGGCTCCAGTTTAGAAAATGTGCTCCTCTGGAGATCTAAGAGAGAAAAGGAAGAGAAAACAAACCATCAACGAGCACTATAATACACACCGAACTAAGCCCTGTGCCCGCCTGATGAGGAGGAACATACAGGCTTAACTTGGGATAAGTAATAACAGAGGATGATGGATTCACAAAAAAAGAGGCAGAGACTCCATTCTACCCAGTGCCAAAAAATTAGGCAGCAGACACCCATGAACCTTCAGATTCAGGCTCACCCACACCTAAGATCCCTGCCCTTACCTCCACCTAGCTTCCTTAAATGTTCCCAGCTACTGTAACTGTCCGGAAGACTGACTTCAGAGCGAGATGAAGAAAGAGACATGGCGAAGGTGGCAGCCACAGGCAGGTTAGATTGGAAGATATGAACGGAAGTCCTGGAAAGGGAAACAAAATCATAGGCAGAGATGGTGACTGTAGGACAAGGGGACCCTCCCAGCACAGAACTGTCCTCCATCCTGAGGCCAGAACTCCGGTCTCCTCCCTCTTCATCCTCTAAACATATGAAGATACCTCAGTGACCCTGTATCAAGTAAAGAATGCCCAGTATTATCTTTATGGGCTGTAACCCAGACAATCATACACCCCCACCAACCAATGTCAAATCTAGGATAGTTGAGGAGTGCCTGAATGGCTCAATCCGTTGAGCGTCTGACTCTTGATTTCAGCTTGGGTCATGATCTTGGGGTTGTGGAATTGAGCTCCACACTGGGCTCTGCACTCAGCACAGAGTCTGCTTGAGATTCTCTCTCTCCCTTTGCCTGTCCCCTGCTCATGCTCTCTCTCTCTCTCATTCTCTCCCAAATAAATAAATAAATAAATACCATCTTTTTAAAAATCTACAATAGCTGAGTGTTGGTCCCCAATGCCTGGCCTCTGAGACAAATCCCTTCCACTTCCACAAGCACCCATATCCCCTGACCTGTGGAGGTTGTGCTCACGCCGGACATCCTGTGCCTCTGTCCTGGCAGCCTCCAGGGTATGACCCTTGCCCTCCTGGCCACTTTGCAGCTGCTCCAGCATCTGCCAGACCACAGACCCAGGTAGGCCCAAACCTCTCCCTCTCCAGGAGGAATAACCCTCCCCACCACTGGCATATACAGCACACATGGAACTCTCATGTGGGCAATGACAGTTTCTCAACCTGGAGAAGAGGGCTTGGAAAGAAGAGTTTTGGAGAGACATAGGGTCAACACAGGGAAAAGAGAAACAGACAAGGGTGGAAAAGAGTATCCTGGCCTGCCTGCAGATCAGAATAGACAGAGAAGAAAGGAAGGGGCCTCCACAGGGAAATATGAAGAGATAGGTCCAATCCTAGCCCTACCTTTGAGCTGTGGGCCTGAGCTTGTTGCCCCTCAGCCATCTGTTTCAGCAGCAGCTCCTGGTGCTGGCCTTCAGATGAGAGAAAAATGTAAGGGAGCTATTCTCCAACTTCTTTCCCTTCCCCTCCATGCCTTGTGCCCAGCCTGGTGCTGAAAACTGAGATGGAGCATTCTGGTGTAACTACTGGGAAACTTCCAAGCTGACTGGGGAGACTAGACTCACACCACGGAGGCAAGACAAAACACTTGGCCAGACTTCTGAGCAGCTCAAGCAATCAAAGCTACGGCCACTTACTGGGATAGCAAAAAGACCCTCCAGAAAAGAGAACAGGTGAATTTGTACCTACCCCCAATCTTTTACTCACTCAGCTGGTCCCGCAGAAGCTTCAGCTCCTCCCGAAGAATCTCTGACTCCTCCCACAGGAGTTGCCGCCTGCACAGATGACAGCAGAGTCATCCTAAAGCCAATCAACAAGCCCAGAGGACACTACCAGGAGTTAGAGCCCTGAAGGAGAGAACTTGCCCATCACATACTCATTCTGGAGTTCTTGGCGAAAGCCACTAGAAGCACTGCACTTTCGTGGTCCTGTTTGTATTTGGGCTTGGGCCTGTTCCTGCACCTGGCTTCGAAGAACCTGTAACTCCCTTCTCAGCCCCTCCAGTCGTTGCTCCAGGAGGAGGGCCCTCCGCTCTGGGCCCCCCTGCAGCAACTTTAGTGAAGCTGTAGTGGGACGAGTTGAGTGTCAGCCCTTCTGAGAGCTTTGTACAAGAGCCCAGACACCCCACTTGCAAATCAAGACACAAGTAAGTGCACAGGTGTGTAACAAAACCGTATGCATACATAATGAGCTATCCATATGAAAAAAAGAACTGGCCAGATACCTTCCAGGGCACAGATCTGGGACTTCTGCTGCTCCTGCTCTTCCAGCAGCCCCCGCACAGCCTGCCTTAGTGCCTCAGTCACCTACCCAGGCAAGAAAAACCACATGAGCTACTATGTAAAGGGCTTCCCCAATCCCTGATATCCTCATCTCATACAAACACCACACATAAAACCTAGAAGTACATGCTTTACCTGAGCCTGGGATTGAAGCTGGGATCGCAGAATACTAATTTCATCCCGGAGAGAAGTTGCTCTATGGGCCTCAGCCCAACTCAGCCTTTCTGGAACAAAGAGAGTCTCTAGACCCCAAGGCTGTGGAGTTTGGACTCCAGACTGTGGAGGCAAGTGATGAGGGGAAATCCAGGTCCCAGCCAGGTCTCCTGTTGAGGGAGTAAGTAAAGGACAATTTTGAGGCCTATCTTTGGGGGAAAAACAGATGTCTGTTCAGGAAAGAAAACCGTTGGAATCTGAAAGGAATAGTGGATGGTACAGGCACAACAGAAACGCAGATCCTGGAAAGAGAAAAGGCTGGAGGGTAGCAAAGGGACAACACTTACCTGCCGTGTAGACTCCAAGAGGATACAGCCGCTGCTACAAAAGAAATAGGTGCACAGGCCAGTAAGCTCTGAGTGTCCCTAAACCCAAAACTCCAAATGGGGGCCCTTAGGCGCCCCCTCACCTTAATCCTGGCCACATTTCCATCAGTAGCATTGAGAAGTGCGTCAAGGTGCTCAGACCAGCTCAGGCTCCTACTCATAATCCTGGCGTCTTGTGCCCTTGCTCTCCCAGCTCAGAATACCCGAAGCACAGCCCGGTAAAGCCACACGTCAGAGAGTGGGTATCGGGGATGTAATACTAAAGGTATCAGGCCAAAAGTGGGACTAGTCAGGGGAACGGCGCTTGGGGAAAGTAGGGGGAAAGCGAGATACTCTGATACGCAGATATCAGGTGAGAGATGAGAGTGCCGAATCTTGGTCGAGACCACTCCAGATCCAAGATACAGGCGTCATCACGCCGAACCTGCAACAACTACAGGAGCCACCCAGTTTAAACACTCCTTATAGACCGGGGAAGAGCTACTTCAGACTTGTAGCCGCACTGCCACTTGGGAAACTGAGTTCGTCTCTCACGGAGACAACGGGAGATGGAGGCTACCGAACTACGTTTTGGAAGCGACACGAACACTCAAACCCTCACCGTGAAGCTTGCCGGGAAACCAAGGCTTTTGGATTCTGTAACTGTTGGCTTCAAGGACCATGTGAACTACATATCCCAAGATGCATTGCACCAAGTCAACCCTATCCCGCTGCTAGTCCCAGTAGTTCCTGGGAAATGGAGTCCAAGGTACCTTGAACTTAACGGACCAGGTTATCCTTAAGACTCCATTCCCCAGCAAGCTCTGCGCGTAGCGTGAGCTATGGAGCCGCAGGTCGCAGAACTGAAGCAGAAGATCGAGGACACGTTGTGCCCTTTTGGCTTCGAGGTTTACCCCTTTCAGGTTGGTTCATCCCTTCTGCGCTGCTGGGCGAGGTGTATGATTGGCCTGGGTGCTACCGGCGTGAACCCGAGTCTTTTGGTCCTTCCCGAGCTCCCCTGGCCCCACGTCCCTCTGACCTACCGGGACAGGGTGTTAGCCGTGGCTCCATGTAAAAAAAAAAAAAAGAGAGAAACGGTCGCACCTTTGTCCTTTTACGCCCATATAATGCCATACTGATAAATGGGAGAAACATAATCTAATGATTTTGTGGCTTTGTCACCTCCATATTCAGAGGAAAAAGTGACCTCTGGAGCCAGTCACTTTAGAAGCTTCCTGAAGGAATTAGGATAGGGCAAGGCCTGGAAGTTTTGCGTAGCTAACATTTAGGCCATCTGAGGAGGAAAGGGCATTCTTGTCGAACAAGCAAACAATCGGCTGGTTGGTTCCATCTACGAACAGAAGAATAATTCATGATGTTACCAATCACCAGCGCTGGGCTGGATACATAAACTGTGCACTTGCCTGACACAGAAGTCTGGCACCACCACCTACCTACCCTTGTTTACATAGATCCATTTCCCCCTTATCCAGTGCCCCCTGTATTAATCTGTGTGCTTGTACAAAGCTAAATCAACTCAGCTTGAGCCCTTTGCCTGATGCTTAAGAGCAGGCCACTCCCACCCCTTCCACTGAGTGGCCCACAGCAGTGCTGGAAAAGAACATAGAGGAAGAGGTAGGTTGGGTCTAGCTTAAGAAGGACTAACCAGAAAAAATGGAGTTGAGCTACATGTGAAAAGAAGGAAGGAGGATTATGTATATCCCAAATATCAGGAACAGCTTGAGTAAAGGTGTGGAGGTAGTGGTGGATGGCAGGTATGGAGAGAGTGAGAATGACTGGTGGGTTAGGCAGACGTGGGTGGGTAATGGGAATTACTATACTGAACAGAGCCAGTCATCTGGGCTCCTACTTCTTACCTTTCCCTCCCCCACATCCAGTCTCACACCAAGACTTTTGGAATCTGTCACCTGAATCTCCCAAATCCATTCCCTTCCTTCCAACCCCTCTGTGCTCTGGTGGTCCAGGCCAGTATTCCTCACTTGGATTACTGCAGTAACCTGCTTGCTGTCATTCTGCATGCAGTCCATCCTCCACACTGCAGCCAGATCTTTCTAAAACTAATCATGTCCGTTTACTCCTTAAATCTTTGATGGCTGGCCCCTCGTCACCAAGTTAGACCCATATTCCTTAAATTGGTTCTCTAGGCCAGTCATCATCTCATGCCTACTGATCCATCCACCCCTTTCTTGCTCCCCTTCACTTCTATCAAACTGGACAAACTGCTGTTTTCCAAATATGCCCTTTTTGCATGTCTTTGCTAATCCTGTGACCTCTGTTTATAATATATAATGGATTCTCCCTCCCCACATCATTCTGTCACATTCCTTCCTACCCTTCAAAACAGCTTCCAAGAAGCCTTTTCTAATTTAATAGGACCTTCATCTGGTCCTGTCATTGCACTAATTGCAGTATAATTTCTTTTGGTTCTTAGTTGTTCATGAATGTTCTGCCTCTCTATTCCAAATTCCCTGTCATATTCCCCCATGGGGAAGTCCCCCTATAAATACACATCATGCAGGATCAGTACAAATCCATTGACTAAATGAAAGAAATGGAGCCTGAGGCAAGATGTATGAGGCCTGGAATGCTAGGATGATGTAGGGGCCTAGCAGAGGGCTAAATTGGCCCTCCTGTGTGGCCTGAGTTTTCTCTCTATTCCAGGTGGCATGGTATAATGCACTCCTGCCTCCAACCTTCCACCTAACCCTGCCAGGACCTACCCTGGCCTTCCTAGTACTCAGCACACCTGCCATGTTTGACCGGGCCCTCAAACCGTTCCTGCAGAGCTGCCACCTCCAACGACTGACTGACCCTGTGGACCAATGTGTGGCCTACCACTTGGGCCGAGTTAGAGAGGTGAGCAAGGCTCTTATATTCCCCCAGCTTCCAAACCTGTAGCTGCTTCCAGCTCCTCTAAGCTCCCTGCAGGACTAGACCTACATAGACCCAAGAGCCACTTCCCAGATAGGATATCCTAAAACCATCCCTGACATTACGATCTCTCCCCATTCCGCTTTCTTACCCGTTTCAGCCACCTACTTCTAGCAATCCCCAGGTCTGGAATCAATCTCATTCACCCTACTCAGATGGGCAATTGATTATATGAACCTCAAACCAGACTTTTCTCTTGGCCTCCCAATGAAATAGGAATAAGCCCAGCATCCGCCAAGCATCTCTCACCCCTTTGCCCTAAGCCAGAAGTATTTCCCCACCACACAGGTGCACATAAAATACATACACATACATTGTATCTCCCTGAAGCTGGGCCAAGTCTTCATCCACACTGGGACTCTGGAAGGCAGAGACCAGTCACCCCTCATTAATGAATTTTTGTTTAAGGATTTAGAGAGAGTGCAGGGGGAAGGGGCAGAGGAAGAGAGCATCTCAAGCGGACTCTGAGGGTGTTGTGCTGAGGGTGGACCCTGACACAGAGGGCTGTCTCCTGACCCTCAGAGATCTGAGTTGAAACTGAGAATTTGACACTCAACCAGCTGCACCACCTAGGCGCCCCAGCCCCTCATCACAGAAGCTTCTGAGTAAGACCTTGTTATTTCCTTTCAAATGTGGACCCGCCTGGACAGATCATTTTCTTCACAGTGGACCCCTGCACCCATCTAAGTTTAAGGTCATGCTTTCACTTCAAATGATTTCTGAGGACAGGACCTTAACACAAGTAAGAGCTTTCTGGGGCAAAGTCATTCTTTTCACGCTGAAATGAGCTTCCATCTCTATCCCAGAACCTCCCAGAGTTGCAAATCGAAGTCATCGCTGACTATGAAGTACACCCCAATCGGCGCCCCAAGATTCTGGCCCAGACTGCAGCCCATGTGGCAGGGGCTGCTTACTACTACCAACGAAAGGATGTGGAGGCTGACCCCTGGGGGGACCAGGTCAGAGGGCAAGTATGAATGAGTAGGGACTGGGAGAAAATAGTGAAGGCCCCTCAAGATACCAACTCTTAACATTCCTCCCTCTCTCCTGGGTAAGGGATCTGGTAGACACAGTACCAGAGAGGTCAGGTATCGGGTGACCGGATATCAGGTCGGTGAGGAGGCTGGACACCATGTGCTTTCTGGAGCCTACCTGGGAACACATCAGCTCAGAGAACCTAGGCTTAAAATCTGGTTACAGGATGGGTTAGAGCAGTGATTAGCAGACCAGTGGTGAGACTGGGATGCTAAGGGAGGTGGCTCAGTTTAAGGAACGCACCTTCCTCATGGCCAGAGTAAGGTCATGAAAAGGGTTGTCTGGGAGAGAAAATGGGGGAGCCCAGCTGTAAGAGAAGTTCAATGTGGAATCAGTGTCCTTTGAGAATTGAACAAGCCTAGTCTGCAATGATGGTAGTTGGACTTAAGTGACCTCCATGACCTTGCCTTTTTTTTTTTTAAACCCTCTTCCAGCACATATCGGGTGTGTGCATACACCCCCGATATGGGGGCTGGTTTGCCATCAGAGGAGTGGTGCTCCTGCCAGGAATAGAGGTGCCAGATCTGCAACCCACGAAGCCCCTGGACTGTGTACCTAAAAGAGCTGACCGAATCACCCTGCTTGAAGGGTTTAATTTCCACTGGCGAGACTGGACATACCGGGATGCTGTGACACCACAGGAGCGCTACTCAGAAGAGCAGAAGGCTTATTTTTCCACTCCACCTGCCCAACGTTTAGCCTTCTTGGGCTTCGCCCAGCCCTCAAAGGATCCTAGCTCTAGGCCTGCTGAACTACCTTTTACAGTACACAGACCCAAAAACCCACAGAATCCCAGCAGAGTCCGCGGCTGGCTCAGCCCCCGTGTCTCACCACCAGCATCCCCTGGCCCTTCCCTCCCCTGATATCCCTATTGATAAGTGGGACTTGCTGGGACTTGTTTTGCTTTTTGGCAAGGCAAGGTTTTATTTTAGGTATATTCTTGATAGAAGAATTCTAGAGATCTTCAATGAAGATAAGGCTCAGAATTTAGTCAAAACAAATCCAAGATCCAGAATTCCCACCTGGCTTGGAATATGGGATTATTCCTGTTTGCATTTCTCTGCAATGCTCCAAAATGCTACTTGTTATGAAGTCTTGGGGCACCTGGGTGGCTCAGTATGTTAAATGTCTGCCCTCAGCTTAGGTCACAATCCTGGGGTCCTGGGATCAAGCCCCACATTTGGTTCCCTGCTCCTCAGGGAGATAGCTTCTCCCTCTCTGCCCTTCCCTCTGCTTGTCCTGTCAAATAGAATCTTATTAAAAATGGCTTTCTAAAGGGTTATCATCCACTAATGGCATCTGCCTCATAAGCTTATTGTGGGTAATGAATAAATACACATAAAGCACTTCTGAAACAACGCCTGGCTTATTAAAGTGGTGTCAAGGGGCGCCTGGGTGGCTCAGTCTAAGCGTCTGCCTTCGGCTCAGGTCAGGATCCAGGGTCCTGGGATCAAGTCCCACATGAGCAGGAAGCCTGCTTCTCCCGCTCTAGCTCTGTCAAGTAAATCTTTTCAAAAAAAAAAAATTTTTTTTCTTTAAAAAAGTCTTAGCAGTCTTTGAATGCCCAGGCAATCCTGTACTGCTGCTTATAGAGGTCTTGCTTGGAGGAGTGAGAATAGGCTGAAGTAGCGGACAGGTTTCTAACAGAGTTCAGAATACACAGCAGACTCCGTTCTTTTCCTTATCCCCAAGGGCTCAGAAGGCACCCACCTTCTCCCCAAACATCCCTCCCTCCCTCAGGACAGTAAGGGCCAAAAAAGGACTACCTTCAAATCAAAACTGGGATCCAAAGCAACCTAAGTGCTCAGCACTGTGGGGTTTTTTTTAAGATTTTGAGAGCAAGCAAGCATGCAGCATGAGCAGAGAGCCCAACAGGGGACTTGATCCCAAGACCCTGGCACCATGACTAGAGCCTCAGAGACACACCTGAGCGACCCAGGTATCCCAGCACTGTGCTTTTGATACAGAAAACTTTACCCTATAAACACTAGGAATCTTTGTTTCCCCTCCCCCTTTTAGTTTCAAAGCCTCTACTTCTGATCTTTCATAAACCCAGTACCAGGCATTTATCATTAAGAGGCCAAGCTTCAGTTCTCATACAGCACTCCCAGTTGTATGAAAGTAAATGTCCCAAATCATCTCATTGGGGCCTATCCAAAGCCTGTAATATATTCTTTAACCCATTAACACGTATTTCAATGCTTTAGCCAACATGACTGCAGGTCTCGCTTTCTTCCCCCAGATACAGTGAAAATATTACCACCTGGATTCAGTTCCATTTCCTGTATCTACCTGCATTTTCCCCTACCCACCCCCATAATTTTTATTCTGAAGCTCTCACCCTCATTTTCTCCTAAAAAAGGGAAAGCAGAGCGTAAATTCCTCCCCAAATCAAAAGTAGCACCCCCCCATGAAGAATCAAACACAGTCTCAGTTCAAGTTTAATAGAAACAACAGAAGATCGAAAGTGTTGCCCTACTACTGTACATCACAGTTGGCCTGCCCTGTAACACAGTTCAGGCCATTCTCTCCAGAGGAAGAAAGGCTGGACTCCCCACCCCTGCAGGAAAAGCCTGTCCCATCCCATACCACATCTGCACAAAGTCTAAAGTCTTGTGTTTTAAGCATAACAATAGTACAAAAGAGATTTTGTTTTCATGGCCACCCACTACAGCCCAGCCCTAAAATGGCCCGACGCTCACTTCTGCTTAGAGAAATATTCTTTGCTCTTCTGGACATCAGGCTTGATGGTATCACTGCCAGGTTTCCAGCCAGCTGGGCACACTGCAAGAGATAAGTATTGTTAATAACCCTGCTCAATCATGAGCTCCACCTTCCTCCCATGAACAAATGGAGACAAAGGGCTCAATACCAAATCTGATCCCTTACGAGGCTAGGCTGAACATACCAGAACCAGAAGCCTATGCGACAGTCTGAAATCATTCCAGCCTTTCAGTGCAAGGCTAACTATAAACATGTAATTTAATCCTCAAAACAGCCCTAATACTATTACACCTAAATTTATTCATGTAGAGCACCTGAAATTTAAAAGCAAGTAACAGCTTCGATTTTATGCCTTGTTCTAGAAATAATCTGTCTGAAGTATCATGACAAAACAATATAAGATTCATCAGTGTGGTGCCTAAGTCGTTAAGCGTCTGTCTTTGGCTCAGGTCATGATCCCAGGATCCTTGGATTGAGCCTGCTGCTCCCTCTCCTCCTGCTTGTGTTCCTCCTCTTTTGCTGTGTCTCCGTCAAAAAAAAATAAACTCTTTAAAATAAAAACAGTAGATAGTGGGTGAATAGGCATTTAGTTTCATGTATGCTTCACACATGTTTTTAAAAAAACCTTCAATGCGAATGCAAGCTGATGCAACCACTCTGGAAAACAGCATGGAGGTTCCTCAAAAAGTTGAAGACAGAGCTACCCTGCAACCCAGCGATCGCACTACTATTTACCTAAAGATACAAATGTGGTAATCCAAAGGGGCACATGCACCTGAATGTTTAGAGCAGCAATGTCCACAAAAGCCAAACTATGTTAAGAACCTATCCATCAACAGATGAATGGATAAAGATGATGTGGTGTGTGTGTGTACACACACACACACACACACACACACACAGAGGAATACTATGCAGCCATCAAAAGAAAGAAAATCTTGCCTTTTCCAACGACGTGGATGGAACTAAGGGTTATTATGCTGAGCGAAATAAATCAATCAGAGGAAGACAATTATCTTATGATCCCCTGGTATCAAGAATTTGAGAGGCCAAGTGGGGGGCTCGAGGGGGTGAAGAAAAAATGAAACAAGATGGACCAGGAGGGAGACAAACCATGAGACTTTTTTTTCTTAAGATTTCTTTTTTAAATTTATTTGACAAACAGAGATCAAAGTAGGCAGAGAAGCAGGCTCTCCGCTGAGCAGAGAGAGCCCGATGCGGGGCTTGACCCCAAGACCCTGAGATCGTGACCCGAGCCAAAGGCAGAGGCCTTAACCCACTTAGCCATCCCCACGCGCCCCAAGAGACCCTTAATCTTACAAAACGAATGGGAGGGTTGCTGGGGGGAGAAAGTAAGGGAAGGGTGGTTGGGTTATGGACACTGGGGAGGGTATGTGCTATGGTTGAATGCTATTGAAGTGTATAAACCTGGCGATTCACAGACCTGTATCCCTGGGGCTAATAATATTGTATGTTAATAAAAAATTTAAAATTTTATTGGGGGGAAAAAAAACTCTTGAATGCTCTTCAACAAATGTTGCTAGGACCAGCTGGATTTCCACAAGCGAAAGAATGAAGGCAGACCCCTACTTCACACCACCTACAAAAAATTAAGTCAAGGGCGCCTGCATGGCTCAATCAGTTGAGCAGCCAACTCTTGGTTGGTTTCAGCTCAGGTCATGATCTCATGTGTCTTGGGATGCCCGCCACCGACCCCCAGCAGTGGTCTCCTTCAGATTCTAGCTCCCTCTGTCCTACCTCCACCCCCACCCTCCCCACCCCCCTTTATTTATTTATAAATAAACAAACCTTTAAAAAAAGAAATTCATGGGGCACCTGGGTGGCTCAGTTGGTTAAGTGGCTGCCTCCGGCTCAGGTCGTGATCCCGGAGTCCAGGAATTGAGCCTAGCTTTTAAGTGCTCCCTACTCAGTGGGGAGTCTGCTTATCCCTCTCCCTTTGCCCCTTCCCCTCCACCAGGGATCTTTAACAAAATTTTTAAAAAGTTATCAATTAAAAAAAAATAAAATTAGTTTATGTGCCAGTTTTATCAGTGACAAGACAGAGAAGACCCACACTTGGATGTTTCACTCCTATCCAGCAGCAGTGGTTTTTTCAGAATATGGAGGCCAGAAAAAATAGTTGAGTCCCACATAAATCACCTTTAAAATACAATTGAAATACCATGACTCTCCAAGGAGAAAATGGCATCACTCGACAGTAACCTCAGTATGAGAACTTCCAACACAGAGAGCCCTAAACAATTTTTTTCAACATTACCTAAAAAAAAAGATGGTTATGAATCTGGATCCCAATTTCAACATTTACTATGAGTTTGTGCTATGTTTAAGTATAGGTTTATGCGTCCTCGAAATCAATGTAGGCTCTTCATTACATGGAACAAACTGAGGGTTACAGTGGGGGGGGAGGCATGGGTTAAATGGTTGATGGGTGTTAAGGAGATCACTTGTGAGGACCACTAGTATCTTCTAAGTGATGAAATCACTAAATTCTACACCTGAAACTAATTATTACTCTATCTGGTATCTAAATAAAAACTTGGAAAGCAAATAGGAAATATAGGAAATAGAAATACACAAATGAAACTGAATCATTATGGGGGCACATGGGTGGCTCAGTTGGTTAAGCGACAGCCTTCAGCTCAGGTCATGATCCTGGAGTCCCAAAATCAAGTACGTACCCAGCTCCCAAGCTCAGTGGGAGGCTGCTTCTCCTTCTGACCCTCCCCCCTTCTCATGCTCTCTCTCTCCCACCACTCAAAAAAATTTTTTAATTAATTATGTTGTACACCTAAAAACGGAGTTAATTATACCTCAATAAAAATTGGTATGTAGAATAAATAATACATGCGAAGTACTTCAGAGGGGTGCCTGGGTGCTCAGTCAGTTAATCGTCTGCCTTTGGCTCAGATCATCCCTGGGTCCTGGGATCGAGTCCCACATCGGGCTCCATGTTCAGCAGAGGGCCTGCTTCTCCCTCTCCCTGCTGCTCTGCCTACTTGTACTCTCTATCTCCCTGTCAAATAAGTACAATTTTTTTTTTTAAAAAGTACTTTGGCGTGCCTGGTATTCATAGGCTCTCAAGCATTAGCCTTCATATAAGCCATAAAGGCTGCACACACAGCTGTGCCTGCTCTAGTGGGATGGGAAGCTGAAGAGACCAAGAGTCTGAAGAAGCAAGCTTCAGAGTTATGAAAGCGGATTCAAAAGCCTAGGCTACATGCAGGTGCTACGAAAACTTTCGCCATTCCCTAACTCCTCCTTTCTTTGTGCTGAATCTCATCCCCCACCAGGGGGCAGTGTCAGGAACCATCTGCTCCTTCAATGTGCTTAAGGTAAAGCCCACACTCACTTCTACAAAGGGTGCCTTCGGATATCACTCACTAATCCCTATTAGCCTCCAACTCTAGCAAAAGCACCACTTTCAGGTCCCCCAAGCAGACACCACTAATTCAGACTCTTAACAACTTCCATATTCTGTATCCTAATATGAGAGAGGACATGAGCCTTAGAAAACTAGTCTGAACGATTTATCACCTAGAGAAAGAAAATGAGATGCAGTAAGGCCAATTCATCCAAGTACATCTACATACTTCATCTTACCTCAGTAGCACTTGATCCCAACTATTTTGTCCCCAATTGCATCGAGCTTGGGAGGTTATGGGGTTCAAGATCTCCATTCCCCCAATTACCCAGCACTTAACAGCCTCATGACCTAAGTCCTTAAAAACTAAGTCTTAGTTAGGGTAAGGTTATCTCAGTCCAGCAACAACTATATACCAATGGGGGGAGGGGGTCAAAAAGCTACAGCCTTACTAACTCCAAAGCTGGGATCAAGGGCGCCTGGGTGGCTCAGTGGGTTAAGCCTCTGCCTTCGGCTTAGGTCATGACCTCAGGGTCCTGGGATCGAGGCCGCATCAGCAGGGAGCCTGCTTTCCCCTCTCTTTCTCTATGCCTGCCTCTCTGCATACTTGTGATCTCTCTGTTTCAAATAAATAAAAATAAAATCTTTAAAAAAAAAAAAAAAGTTGGGATCAAGTGGTTCAGTACTTTATCACAAAACAATGAAAATATGAGGAAAATACTAGTGCTCCAGAATTAGAAAAAGAAGACCTACACTCTAACAAATGCTAGATAAAAACTCGCAAGTTCAAACTGCTTGGTAATGTGTAGATTTTAGAATAACTTATAAAAGAAACAGGATTTTTACCTCAAACACCTAAAGGAGAACCTAGATATTTCATCTCCAAACATCCTAGCCCTAACTTCTCAAAAAAATTTTACATGGGGCACCTGGGTGGCTCAGTTAAGTGTCTGCCTTTGGCTCCGGTCATGATCCCAGGGTCCTGGATCGAGCCCCACATCGGGCTCAATGCTCAGCAGGGAGCCTGCTTCCCCCCGCCACCTCTCTACTTGTGAGGTCTCTGTCAAATAAATAAATAAAATCTTAAATTTTTTTTTTACATAAACACTTATATAATTTGGTTATTTCCAGATTTTAAGTACCACACTACAATACAGTGTAATTTAAGATGATAAAAACAGAGACGCCTGAGTGGCTCAGTCTGTTAAGCGTCTGCCTTCGGCTCAGGTCATAATCTCAGGGTCCTGGGATTGAGTCCCGAATCTGGCTCCTTGCTCAGCAGGGAGCCTGTTTCTCTCATCTGCCTGCTCTGCCTGTTCTGCCGGCAGCTCTCCGTGCTTCTGCTCTGACAAATAAATAAATAAAATATTAAAAAAAAAAAAAAAAAAAAAAAAGAAGAAGAAGATGATAAAAACAGGGGTGGCCTGGGTGGCTCCATTGGTTTAGCTTTGCCTTCAGCTCAGGTCATGATCTCAGGGGCTCCCTGCTCAACGTAGTCTGCTTTTCTCTCTCTCTACCCATCCTCCCTCCTCCACATGCTCTTTGTCTCAAATCAATCTTTAAAAAAAAATTTTTTTTTAAGATATAAATGCATTACAGCTGTATCTGTCTAGTCTTTGGGCAAGTTATCTTAAGTCCTTTTATTTTCCAAAATTCAAAACTAGTCATAGGTTATCTTAAGGGAGGTGGGGGGCGCCTGGGTGGTTCAGACATTAAATGGCTGCCTTCAGCTCAGGTCATGATCCTGGGATCCTGGGCTTGAGCCCCCATCAGGCTCCCTGCTCAGAAAGAAGCCTGCTTCTCTCCCTCTTCTACTCCCCTGCTTACATTCCTGTCAAATAAATAAAAAGGGTGCCTGGGTGGTTCAGTTGGTTAGGCCTCTGCTTTTGGCTTGGGTCCTGGGATAGAGCCCCATCAGGCTCTTTGTTCAGCAGGTAGTCTGCTTCCCTCTCTGCCTACTTCTGATCTCTATCAAATCAATTTCAAAAAAAAAAAAAAAAAAGTTTAAAAAATAAATAAAATCTTAAAATAAAAATTTAAACACTAGTCAAGAATGGCATGCCCTATCTATGGAATTCTCCCATCTTTTGTTTTGCCTTTATACACATCTATGAGGATCCTCCTATACTCCTTTCCTTTAGTAAGTTAAAAGCTGCAGCAGTGAATCTAAATGAGCAGGGCAGAAGCAGGGACAATACAGCTGGAACAAACAGCCTTTATATATAGTTCCCTCCCCAGGCTTTTCCATTATCTCACCCTACAATTCACTAGTTTATTTCTTGTAGACATGTTTTCCTCTCGTAGACATTTTTCCTGCCATCTTTCCTATTCTACCACAATTCTGTTGTCAAAGTCACCAGGTAGATTGGCTTACCTTCCCCATGCTTGTCGGTAAACTGGAAGGCCTGAACCAGTCGCAGAGTCTCATCCACAGAGCGGCCAACAGGTAGGTCATTTACAGTGATCTGCCTAAGGATGCCTTTATCATCAATGATAAAGAGGCCCCTGGGAAGAGGAGATTAAAGGTTTGAGAGACATGCAGTACAGGTTTAGAAACTACTTTGTTAGAACAGAGATGCAGTGGGAATGAAAATGTGCTGGCCTTCCAGACTTGCACTGACTTTGTCTTCCTACATAAAGAATGAAACAAGGAGTACCTGGCTGGCTCGGTCAGAAGGTGTGACTCTTGGATTTTGGGAGTTGTGGGTTAGAGCCCCACACTGGGTGTGGAGGGAGGGAGAAAGGGAATCAGGAGGAGGAGGAGGAAGAGAGAAAAGGAAGGAAAGAAAATGAATGAAATGAGATCATCATCCTGTATGCTTTATTACATACAGTGATGGGGGTGGCTGACTAGCTCAGTCAGCGAAATGTGCAACTCGTATCTCAGGATTTCGAGTTCAAGCCCCACATAAGGTACGGAGAGAAATTTTTAAGAAGTATTAAAAAAATAAACAAAAAGGGTGCCTGGGTGGCTCAGTCTGCTAAGTGTCTGCCTTCAGCTCAGGTCTTAATCCCAGGGTCCTGGGATCAAGCCCCCATCGGGCTCCCTGCTCCATGGGGAGCCTTGCCTCTCCCTCTCCCATTCCCCCCACACTTTGTACTCTCTGGCTCTATCCCTGTCAAATAAATAAAAATCTAAAAAACAAACAAACAAACAAACAAAAAACCACACACACACACAACAATGAAAAGAGCAGAGTCTACAGATCAGGGCCCTACCTTTCTCCAAAATTCCCTCAAGTCAATCAGGTAGTTTTATTGGAATATCAGCCCCTGGCAGGCATATACCTGAACGAGATGCCTTCATCAGCCTTTAAGACTCCATAGTCCTGAGCAATGGTACGCTTGGGGTCTGATACCAAGGGAATGTTCATGGGTCCCAGTCCTCCCTGTTTCTTGGGTGTGTTGATCCTAAAGCAAAAAGCACATATACATATCACATTCACTCAAACTCTTCTGTAGTTTTTTGTTATCTATTCCTTCCCTCTTTTAGCATTCCTAATCTTACCCCCCCCCAAGACCAAACCTTTTCCCAAGGAAATTGAGTGCCTGAAGATACACTTAAGGTCACCAGAGTACACTCAAATGCAACCCAAGCTGCTGCTCCTCTGCTGCCAGGTATAAGAGAGCAAAAGGAGAAAGTCAGAGCCTTTGCAATCCCTTCCATCAGAAGCCAGAAGACAATACTTCAACAAGTCTACTGTCAAAGCCCCCCCACTTCCAGCTGCTACTTTTTCAAAGTTCACAGGCAAAATCGACCAAGAAATTTACCATGCCAGGTGACAGAAATGAGAATCCACAGAAGCACCAATCACTTGACAGTTGAGTTTCTTAAATTCTTCTGCCCTGTCACTGAAAGCAATGATCTCCGTGGGACACACAAAGGTGAAGTCAAGAGGGTAAAAGAAGAACACAACATATTTTCCTAGGGGGAAGGAAAGAACCAGAAGTTTGCCTTTGAAACACACTTCCTTGCTTTACAAAGAAAAAAAACCAAGGGGCACCAGGTGGAGTGCACGGCTCTGTGGGGGAGGGAGTGGGAAGCAGAGAGAAGGGGAGACAATATCTTAACCAGACTCCACACCCAGCACAGAGCCCAACATGGGGCTCCATCTCACAATCCTGCAATCATAACCTGATCTGAAATCAAGAGTCATGCTTAACCGATATGCCCCTGGTAACTCTTTATCTTGGAGTTCTGAGCTTGAGCCCCACGCTGGGTTTAGAAATTAGTTAAAATCGGGGCGCCTGGGTGGCTCAGTGGGTTAAAGCTTCTGCCTTCGGCTCAGGTCATGATCCCAGGGGTCCTGGGATCGAGCCCTGCATCAGGCTCTCTGTTCGGCTGGGGGCCTGCTTCCCCCTCACTCTCTCTGCCTGCCTCTCTGCCTACTTGTGATCTCTGTCAAATAAATAAATAAAAATCTTAAAAAAAAAAAAAAAAAAAAAAGAAATTACTTAAAATCTCGGGGCACCTGGGTGGCTCAGTGGGTTAAAGCCTCTGCCTTCCACTCAGGTCATGATCCCAGAGTCCTGGGATCGAGTCCCACACATCAGGCTCTCTGCTCAGCAAGGAGCCTGCTTCCCCCTCTCTCTCTCTCTGCCTACTTGTGATCTGTCAAATAAATAAATAAAATCTTAAAAAAAAAAAAAAAAAAAAGAGAAAGAAAGAAATTACTTAAAATCTTGAAGCACCCTGATGGCTCGGTGTGTTGAGCACCCAACTCTTGGATTTCAGGTCAGGTCATGATTTCAAGGTGGACTCATCCCACGGAAGAGGGTCCAGAGATTCTTCCCCTCCTTCCCTCCCTCCCACAGGCAAGCATACTCTTGCTCTTAAATCAATCTTTTGGGGCACCTAGGTGGCTCAGTGGGTTAAGCCTCTGCCTTCGGCTCAGGTCATGATCCCAGGGTCCTGGGATCGAGCCCCACATTGGGCTCTTTGCTCAGCAGGAAGCCTGCTTCCTCCTTTCTCTCTGCCTGCCTCTCTGCCTACTTGTGATCTCTGTCAAATAAATAAATAAAATCTTTCAAAAATAAATAAATAAATAAAATCTTTAAACACAGTTCTCATCACAAGAAAAATTAAAAAAAAAAAAAAAAAAGACCTTTTCCTATGAAAAAGTCTTTTTAAGCCGATGGTAGACAAACTGCCAAATGCCTAGATTCAACACAAAGGTTTCCTAGCAGCTACTTCTAGAACTTCTTATGGTAGGAAAACTTGCATGAAAAGACTTTCTTTCAGTTCTAAGCTTTATTTTCCTGCCTCCCCATTAGCTGCCAATTATAAGATGAACACTGTTCAGTATGATTTTGATCTCTAGATAGTTAAAATTAGCAAACACTAAGTTCTCCAATAAAGGAAAGCAAAACCTAGGATGAAATTACCTACTAGTAAATGCCAATGCATACAATGAATGCACAGAAAGAGCTCAACTGCTGAATTCTGTGCTGCAAGTCATTCAAGAGACCAAAAAAGAGGAAACCAGGGCTTTTGGCACTTCTTCCACAATGAACCACAATAACTGTGGACACAAGGTTTAAGTCATCATCTAAATCACCATAAACCTGTTCCTAACAAGCCTAACTGGACAAGAAAAATTTCTTGAGGCAAAGTTCCCAAAGTCCTAGTAAGGTATAACAAGATCTCTAGTTTAAATTTTGCTGAAGTCACTCAGATTACCAGTGGAAGTAGATCTTCAACCAGCCAAGCAGCCACTCACCACAACTAACAGGCTTGAGTTATTTAAAGAGTTCCAAATATTCACTGGTTTCCAGGCAGCAGCAATGTCTAAAGTCAGAATAAGCTGCTCCTTTTGACATTTACTCTGAAAACCAAATCACTAGCAACTCACTCATCTAACCCTCTCCAGGGCTTTACCTAACAAGCACCATGAAGCCTCAGCAGGTCAAGCCCTGGAGGACAAAGAACAGCTCCTTCTAAACCTTATGCCTTTACCCTTGGGCCAGGGTCACCTCCCTGTGGTGCTACTTACCTTGTTTGCCAGGAGCTTCCCTCCATAGGGCCCCTCTTAACTGCTTCTCATTCCAAACAAGTGTGATGTGTTAGGAAACCTTAGTCACATGTTCTACCCAAAAGCTGAGTCCAGGAACTAATTACTACACCAGTAAAAAAGGTACACTTTACACCCGAGTTTCAGGTTTGTACTTCAAGGAAATCTCCATGAACCAACTAACCCAAAAAAACCCTACTGTTCCAGGACTGCAAAAACAAAGGAATACCCTCATCAGAGCTGACCAAGTGCCTGCATTAAATGATCACAGGGAAGAGAACGGTCCCAAATGCAACATCAACTCTTCTCCTGGGGCTAAGAGTCAAGGGAATGTGCCTAAGCCTCTCCCTAATGATACAGCAACTCTGACATAGATGTTTCATAAACTTGAACAGCTTACGCTCCAAAGACTTGAGCTTTCAATGACATAACAAGAATTATCCCCTAAAACAGTAATATAATTGAGGAGTTCTAAGAAATAATTAAGGTAGTTATGTCCAGGCATAATGAAGCATGGGCTTTTTCCATAAGCAGTCTGACTCTCAAGTATCTATCAGTGATCACAGTTGGTAATCACTACTTCATCAGGAAGGCAACAGCCTCCTACCCTAAGACTGTGACCTAGGTAGGATATGTAAATCATTTTACAATCAAGTCTAACTGAGATACAGAAATCTAATGAGCCATCCTAGATTGTAAAAATTCCACTTTTACAAATCTATTGTTATTACTCTTACCTTTGTAGTCAGATAGGCTGAGGTCTTTGAACTGGCCATCTGGCATAACAGCCGTGGCTTTGAAGTTGGGGGCAGGATGCCCAATTTTGGCATTTCCTGAAGACATCTTGCTATTGACTGGAAAATATAAAAGAGGAAGTGAATTGGAAACAAGCCTTACTTATTCTTCTAGGTAACACCCTTCAACTTAGAGACTTAGCTATAGAATGATAAAAAAATTGTCCAGTGACCTTAGTATACACATTAATTTTTATATGGGTATGATGCATAAACTGAGCTTTCCAACTTCTGAACAGAGATCAGACACTAAAGGAGCATGTGGGTGGCTCAAGCTTTTCAGCACTTTTTTTTTTTTTAAGATTTTATTTATTCAACAGAGATCCCAAGTAGGCAGAGGTGCGGGGCGGGGGGGGCGGGGGGGGAGTAGGCTCCCTGCTAAGCAATCCCAGGACCCTGAGACAGGATGCCAAGACCCTGAGACCATGACCTGAGCCGCAGGCAGAGGCTTAATCCACTGAGCCACCCAGGCGCCCCAGCATCCCTGAGTTTTGATTTGGGCTGGGTTCCTAATCTCAGGTCTGAGATTACAGTTGTGATTCTCTCTTCCACTCCCCCATTCCTCCCCTCTTCCCCTTCATTCTCAGGGTCACTCTCTCAAAATAAAAAATGTATCTCGTATTAGCTTTTGTTTTCATTGAAAAGCAGCAATTTTGGGGCGCCTGGGTGGCTCAGAGGGTTAAGCCTCTGCCTTCGGCTCAGGTCATGATCCCAGGGTCCTGGGATTGAGCCCCGCATCGCATCGGGCTCTCTGCTCAGCAGGAAGCCTGCTTCCCTTCCTCTCTCTGCCTGCCTCTCTGCCTACTTGTAATCTCTCTCTGTCAAATAAATAAATAAAAATCTTTAAGAAAAATAATAAATTTAAAAAACTTTAAAAAAGGAAAGCAATTTTTTAAAACATAAGTAACCTCTATTACTTTCTTTACTATCATCCGTGAAAAAGCATTTTCCTCTATTTTCATTACACAAAAAGCAGCACAGAGGAAGATTCAGCCTCAAACCTGAGCTGAGCCCAAACGAACATTGCCACGAAAAGAACATCTGATTTCTAAAGTGGTCATGTTGCCCTTTCCCTATAGTGCATCTTCATCTGCCTTCATAATTCAGGAAACACACTTGACCTTTCTCCAGGTCCACCTGCCGGAGACCAAAACCACCCTAAAGCTAAAGCCCATCCAACTTTTCAAGACACAAAACCAGGATTCTGGCATCTGCTCAATTACAAAACCTTAGCAGTTGTGTTTAAGCTCTAGCAGTACTTTCAAAACGGGTTTCTGCCAGGATTCCGGATCAACAGTAAATAGAACAACAAGTCTATTTATTGCTGGGGAGCCTGGCTGGCTCAGCTGGAGAACATGTGACTCTTGATCTCAGGGTTATGGGTTCCAGCCCCATGGTGGGTTTAGAAATTACTTAAAAAAAAAAAAAAAACACCTTACTGTAAGGGGAGTAAAAAAACCTAAAATACTCACTGCTAAAAAGCAATGCTACACTGGATTCAGCCAGGTCAACATAAAGACAGGGAGTTAAGATGTAAACCACTAATCCATCAGTTTGAAGACCCAAGAAGCTAGTCTTCCATGTTCCGATAGTCTTTGGTACATAATACTACAACCAAAAAAATCATCGTAATCATCGATTATTACGAACTTTCTACTGCTTAACACCTTTAACAGACCAAAAACACTAATACATCAAGTTACAATTTGGTGACCAAATGTATAGAGTGTGACCCTAACATAAACCACCTTTTAGTCCAAACCTGCTTTTCGAGGTGGTCCCCACGTCCACTTAAGTCCAACTCAGCGGGATCAAAGCCGTTGGACCTCAAGGCAGCGTGGGCCTCGGTGAACCAGCCCTAACTTTCATGGCGAGAGCCACACCCCCCCAAAACCGACTTCAGGTTCCCTCCTGCCGCTCCCATTATCGACCCCACAGTAACACTTCGGAAAGTACCCCCCCCCAAAAAAAAAAGCAAGCCGCAGTCTTCACAGACGGATTTGTGATCACCACACTCCCTATTCCGCAAACACAAAAAAAAATAAAGCCAGAAAAGGGCACAACATCTGAAACTCATCTAGCCACAGGTCGAGACCAGCAACAGCCTTCACCTCTACCACACGTCGGGCGGGTAGCCTCAGGTCAGTTTCCAGGTCCATTCTAGAAGGTTCCCGAACCTGCCCGGAAGATTAACTGAGGAGAGCCCACCACTACCACAAGTCTGCCCGGCCTCCACGCCAAACCAATAAGCAAGCGCCCTGTGCTCGGGTTGCCGGGAGAGGAGGAAAACTCGAGCCGACGTTAGCCTAAGGGTTTAAACAGGTCCCCGCGTCCGTAAGGGAGGCCGCCGGGAGGGTGCGCGTACCGCCTAACCACTCTCGAGCGTCACATCTCGCCCAGCCACCTCCCCCGTCACAGCACCCAAGGGGAGCAGGGTGGGAGGGTGGGACCCCAGAACAATGAGAAAAAGACGACGACCGCCGTATGAGGAAACTTTCTCACCCGCTCCACGAACAAAAACGCCGAAGATAAGCCAGTAAGAAGACGCGTAAGATGGTGCGCGGGGCGCTGCCTTTATAGCCTGTAGGGCTCTCGCGAGAGTCAGAGCGGGCCGGGGGTGCAGGAGGAGGAGAGAGGAGGGGGATCTGGTCCGAGCCCCGCCCCGAGCCAACGCGCCCCGCCAGAGTGACTCAGCACTTTCCCTACCTCTGGGCGGGCTCAGGCACCGAAGACACGGATACCCCTGCATGCTGCCAACGGCTGGGGTCGGAGGGCCCAGGGCGTCCATCTCCAAAACCAACCGCCTCGGTTAATCTGGCAATCTCTTTGGGAGGCCCCCTGTTTGTCCTCCCTTCAAGGCCCAGACCAGGGTAATGGCCCTGTTGCTCCACGGAGGATCACGTCTAATCCACACCACAAGCACTGAAACTATCCAAGCATTTCTCAAATACACCACCCCGATCCCCGCAGCCTCTACCCGAGTGCTGTCTCAGTACTTAGACAACCTCCCTCATTATTCTGATTTACAGGATTGCAGCTTTCCTTCTCCCACCCCGCTATTTCCAAAGCTGCTAGGGGGAATATTTCTGAAATCTGCTCGTTTCACTCCTCTGGTTTGTGGTTTAAAAAATTGGGGCTCTGTAGTCAGTTTCCTGAGTTAAAACTCAATGTCATTGTATGTGTGGCCTTCAGGCAAGAGCTTTTACTCTTCTCACCTGTAAAATGGGAATACTGTTAATTCTTCCGGATCATCTCTGTTGATTACTTAGCACAATTCTGAGTTCTTATTATACGTTAGAAAAGGTAACTTTTCTTGCTCCTAGATTGATTTTAACACACAGAACAATGCGTTGCTGTTTCAAGACTTCACGCTTTTGTTCAAATATGAAAAATCCGATCCCTCCTAGTTGGCCTAGAGAAAATGTCTTTGAAGACTCAGCTGAAGCATTACTTCCTCTGAAACTGTTCCTGACCATGGTTCATCCCCAGAATTCCTCTGAAGCTATTCTGGCTTTTGCTCATCCCCAGAATTTGTGCCCCTAAATATCCTATGTTGCCAGAAACTCTACAAAATAGGTCTTAAGCTATTCTACATATTTATATGCCTACCTTTTCTTGCTAGACTGACTTTCTGGAAAGTAAGGTTTGGGTTACACCCATCTCTGTGTCCCCAAGACACAAGAGAGCACCTGATACAAAATAGGAGTATGTAATAAACATACTATATCCCCTTTCTGACCCCATGACGGCTCTGACCACCACCCTCCTATTAACTCCCTTGTACATTATAGCAGGCTAAGAAATGGGAACCTAGGGGGCCTAGGTGGCTTAGTCATTAATCATGTGCCCTGGGCTGGAGTTATGATCCCAGGGTCCTGGGATCCAGCCCGCACTGGGCTCCCTGCTGAACAGAAAGTCTGCTTCTCCCTCTCCTGCTCCCCCTGCTTGTGTTCCCTCTCTTACTGTCTCTCCCCCTGTCAAATAAATAAATAAAATCTTTTTTAAAAAAAATAAAAATAAATAAATGAGAACATGCTATGTCATGCTGGCTGAGCATCTCAAAATTTTTTGGCATTTATCATCCTATCTAGCAACATAAGTCATTTTTTTTTGTTTTTTTCCTTCTCTGCCTGAGCTGAACAAGTATTTGGCCATTATTCATTTCCTTCTAGAGGCAGCAGGGGAAATGTAGAAGTTCAGAGCTTAATAGTGGATGGTTATTGCTATGGGCAGGTTAAATCAACAACACACAGTCCTATTTCAGCCACAAAAAAATACCATGTGCCAGTCCCCTGGGGCACTTGGGCTTATTTGTCTCATTCAAAAACCAAGAGAGTTCTCCTGGCCCAAGGAAATCTTAACAGCCTATCCTATCCCCACGGAAATAAAAAACTGAAATACCAGGACAGAGTTCTGAAAAGACAAGAAATCTGTTGAACACTTGTGGTCGAAGTAAGTGATTGTGGAATTTCTTTCCTCAGAGAACACCAAAGACTTGGAAATGGGGGCAAGGGGTCTTTCTTTTTTATCCTTCTACAGGAACTAGTATCTACCTATATGTCTAGGTTTAAACATATATTTGTCCTTCCTTGTTTGTTTGAAGATTTTATTTATTTATTTGACAAAAAGACACAGCAAGAGAGGAACACAAGCAGGGAGAGTGAAAGAGGGAAAAGCAGACTTCCAGCCCAGCAAGGAGCCTGATGCAGGCCTGGATTCTAGGACCCAGGGATCATGACCTGAGCCTAAGGCAGCTACTTGACAACTGAGCCACCCACAAGCTCCTGTCCCTCCTTGTTTAGCAGTAGTCTGGGAAGGATTTTACCTGTTCTGCTTATCTGTAGAGTACCAGAACCTAGCACAGTAACTGGCCTAGGAAGCATGCTTAATTAATTTTGGAATGTACTTAGGATTTTTGAGAGGTGAAGTTAACTTATTTGAACTATTTTTTTTTTAAGATTATTTATTTATTTGATGACAGAGATCACAAGTAGGCAGAGAGGCAGGCAGAGAGAGAGAGAAGAAGGGAAGCAGGCTCTGTGCTGAGCAGAGAGACTGACTTGGGGCTCCATCCCAGGACCCTGGGATTATAACCTGAGCTGAAGACAGAGGCTTTAACCCACTGAGACACCCAGGCGCCCGTGGTTTTTTTTTTTTTTTTTTAAGATTTTAAAGATTTTATTATTTATTTGAGAGAGAGAGAGAACAACCGTGAAGAGGGACAGAGGGAGAAGGACAAGAAGGCTCCCCACCGAGCATGACAGGGGCTCGATCCCAGGACCTAGGGATCATGACCTGAGCCGAAAGCAGATGTTTAACCAACTGAGCCACCCAGGCACCCCTGTTTGAACCATGTTTTAGAAAAATGATTCTAGCAGCTATGTGATAGGTAAAATAATGACTAGCAGGCAAGAAGTAGAGACTGGTTGGGAGGCCAATGCAAGGGTTCAGACAAGAGAAGTCTCAGAACTGTAATGTGACATTAGCAGCAGGATGGCAAGAAGGAAAGAAAAAACATCTCTACAGGCCTTAGTACTGGATTTAAGGCGAGAAAAAGGAGGAAGTTCAATCTGATTCCTTGGTTTCTTTCTTTCTTTTTTTTTTTTGGTAAGATTTTATTTATTTGACAGAGACAGGGACAGCAAGAGAGGGAATACAAGCAGAGGGAGTGGGAGAGGGAGAAGCAGGCTTCCTGCCAAGCAGGGAGCCCAATGAGAGGCTCAATCCCAGGACCCCTAGGATCATGATCTGAGACAAGACGGCAGACACTTAACGACTGACCCACCCAGGCGCCCCGATTCTTTGGTTTTTTATCTTGGTAACAAAGGAGTAATGTCAGTCACCAGAGACATAGAAAACACTGGAGGAGAAGTAGGTTTGAGGTTTAAAAATAATGAAAAACATTTATTGAATACAGTTTTACAGCTGAAGTACCAAAGAATGTAATTGTCAAAAATCAGAGCTAATAGGTGTTGGGCCAGAGGCCATCCTCGCAGCAGAATCATCATGTAGTACAATATGCCAATGTGACGTTTATATAGACTATAAAATGTAAATGGTGCTTATTGGAGTTGTGCCATACTGTGGTCTGGCCAGTCTGTATGACATGAGTCCACGCTATTACTTACTAATTCCTTTCTTAATGGAGAAGGTAAGCAGTTTGGTAAACAGCACTGAAATGCTCTTTAGACATCCAGGTATCAGTGTCCAGAGATCACCCCTAGAGACACAGATTGGAGAATCAGCAGCACGGAGGTTTAAGCACGTGTTTATTGTTCTAGTTACAGGAGATCTGTACTTTGCTAGACACACAAAGATGAATAAGGCACCATCTATTCAGGTACTTTGAAGGATCACTAAAGAGTAAAGAAGAAGAGTGAGGGGTGCCTGGGTGGCTCAGTGGGTTAAAGCCTCTGCCTTCGGCTCAGGTCATGATCCCAGGGTCCTGGGATGAGCCCCACATGGGGGCTCTCTGCTCAGCAGGGAGCCTGCTTCTTCCTCTCTCTCTGCCTGCCTCTCTGCCTACTTGTGATCTCTGTCTGTAAAATAAATAAATAAAATCTTTAAAAAAAAAAAAAAAAGAACAGTGAAAGATGAGTTCAAGCAGAGAAAACAGCAAATGCAGTAGGAGACAATATAATGTATTTGGGGTAGTACAAAAAGTTCACTAGTAATGTAAATAAATAAAATCTTTAAAAAAAAAAAAAGAGAGAGAGAGAGAGAGAGGAGTCAAGGATAAGTCCCAGGGAAATTAGGCAAAGTGTGGTACAACTCACAGACATTCAGTGAAACAGTTTGGAGGAGATGATAAAGACCCCACTTCGGGGAATACTGAATCTAGGATTCCAAGGGGAGATGGTCAGTAGGAAGCTGGAAATGTGGAAACTTGTTCATCAATACTTAGCAGCATGTTCCTTATCACGATTGGTACAATAGATACCTGTTAAATAAATTAATGAATTATATTTGTTCACATCACTCACAATATCAGGGCTATTACTTAAAGCTGTGGAAGTAAATGAAATCCTGTAGAGCACGGTAAGCCAAGACCAGGACCTCAGAGAATTTCTATGAGAGTAGGAAGAAGGACAAAAGCAATTAAGAGCAACTCAAAAAGAACAGCATCTTGTGGGGCACCTGGGCGTCTGCCTTCGGCTCAGGTCATGGTCCTGGGGTCCTGGGATTGAGCCCCGAGTGTTGGGGGGGTGGTCTCTGCTCATTGGGGAGCCTGCCTCCTCTTCTCTCTCTCTGCCTGCCTCTCCGCATACTTGTGATCTCTGTCAAATAAATAAAATATTTTTTTAAAAAGAAG